GCCGCTCATGCCAAAAATCAATGGACGTCCTGGGGTCTCAGGGTTGGGTTTCTTGTGGAAGGTTTCGTGTTGACTGGCCTCCACTGTACCCGCGAGTGTACAGTCACACTAGTGGTCACGATTGAGCGCGAGACGCAAGGGACCTCCTGCATCTCCAGGCTCCACACATCATTGCCACGTTTTTAAGGTCAAGGCACCGTTCAGGTGCCGTCCTTGGCGCCCAGAGGTTGCCAAAGATGCCACCCAGACCTAGAGAACGCCAAGAGGGCCTCTTGGCACTCTTCAGGTTCCTTGCAGCCTTATGCTCTCCCGTACTACCGATTCATGACTGCAGCAGATTGTTGCACAAAGAGCCAGCAGTGGGAGGAGGAGGAGGAGGAGGAGGAGGAGGAGGAGGAGGAGGAGGAGGAGGAGGAGGAGGAGACAGTGGAGGAGGAGGAGGAGGACGAGGGAAGCACGGGGGAGGTGGAAGAGGAGGAATAATAAGTGGAGGAGGAGGAGGAAAAAAGGAAGAGGCAACACAACCAGGAGGAGGGGGGATCCGGACATGGAATGAGGGTGTGAAGACTGCCGCGTGCCGCTGGCCTCGGCGCCCGCCGCGGGGCGACCTCCCCGAAACACGATGGGTAAACCTGGCGCTGGGAGGCACCGGAGGAGTCAGCCGCGTGAACCAACTCGCTGATCCGGCCTGTACGGTCGGAGGAGGAGAACACAGACGTGCTCGCGTCGTGGCAGAAGGGGACAGAGGTGTTTTTCACAGCCTGCGGCCTCTCGAGGCCCTCGCGGAGCCCCGGGGCCGTCACGAGCCGCTCCTGGGCAGAGGGTCGGGGCTCCGGGGAGCAAGACATCAGGGCGTCGCACGCCTGGGGATCGACGGGCCAGAATCGGCATGCCGCAAACCCGTACATACTATGGATGCGCGGCGGGGATGCACGGGCCCTGGAGGGAGGAGGGAGGAGGGAGGAGGGAGGAGGGAGGAGGGAGGAGGGAGGGGGGCCATGCCGGCACCTTGCTAGTGGGGCGCGGCCAGCGGAAGTGGTCGAGGATGGGCCGAGGATGGGCTTCAGACAGCAGAGGTATCCGACATGTCCAGGTGAGTTCTGCAGCTTCCTGACGAGTGCTGGGCAGACTCCATGCAACCCAGCAAGCAGCGAACCACGAGAAGATTCTGCTGAGCGGAGGCTGCCAGGGGTACCCTTGGGAAGGTTGCCCAGCCTCCCTGTTCGGGTCGACTGCACCAACGTCCGGCCCGAGATGACCGAAGCCTCTGTGCGCGCTGGTCGCCCCATTCTGTTGAGGCCTTCAGCAGGCTCCTCGCGGCCACGGTTGAGTCCACTTTCGCTCCTCCTCCTCCTCCTCCTCCTCTTCCTCCTCCTCCTCCTTCTCCTCCTCCTCCTCCTCCTCCTCCTTCTCCTCCTCCTCCTCCTCCTCGGAAGCCACCCCTGGAGAGGACGGTCCGGGGACCGAACATTCTGAGCGTCGGCCGCCATGTGTGGGCCGCTCGCAGGGCTCGTTTCGAATCCTCGGATCCGATTCGATTCGACTTCGATGGCTTCCGAATCGATTCGGCTTGTTATCCCGACTTGGGCTCTTATTTCTCGATGGAAGCCTGCTAGCTTCCCGATTCCTGCCGGCTCGACTTTTCCGGACTCGGCTGCCGTTTTCTGCCGATCCGCTTCATTTCGATCGCCGATCCGACCTAACGATTCGATTCTGGGCTCTCCTGCTTGCTGGTCCAATCGACGAGGGAGTATCGGACACCCCCGCTGGAGTTCACTCGGCCATAAGAATAACTACACTACGCCTTTGAATTCCAAGCCCAGCAGGTTTCTCCGAAATCGGACCTGACGATTCGATTCTGGGCTCTCCTGGCTCGTTGCCACAGCTGGATCCGTCTCGGAGTTCTGGCCAGAGAGCTCCCCATGGACGTCCTGGGCGCCGCCCCGGCAGGGTCTTCGGGCGGCGGCCTCTTCGGGGGGCGGTGGTCGTCCGCGGGGAACGACAGACGCCCAACGGGTTCAGAGATCTTATTCGGAGGTGGACAGACCTCCTACCCTGACACGTCGATTAAGGAGTTGGCCGTTTTCGGTCCGCGTGAGGGCGTCGCGGCCGTCATTGCTGCTTGTCCAGGTCCTTCCATTTCGGGCCTGGGTCGTTTTCACTAAGGGGAGGTCTACTAAAGGGAGGTTTGTCCACCGCCGACTTATAGTATCAGCTCCGTGGCGGGCGCCTGCTGGCCATGCCGCTCGGGAATCGATGTGCTAAAAGATGCGTGCACTACATGCTTGTGTCGGACAGGCGCCGCCAACATCGGCACACAGTACTGATTTGTGCAGGTGTTCGATCATGGACCCCTGGTTGAACCGCAACCATCCAGCTTTCGCGCCGAAAACCGCCAGAAACCGCCAGAAACCGACGAAGACCACCGACGAAGACTCGGAACAACGCTAAGTCGGGCAAGTGTCTCTACAGGAGGAATATCCAAAAATAGTCAAACAACAGTCAGGGGACGATGTTTGATCATTTGTTGGATAATTTTTGAGTATCGTTGGACTATGTTGCATTTTTCGTCCAAAATCTGTCTGTAGGTGGGTGGTTGTGGTGGTGGTGGTGGTGTGGTGGTTTTTTGTTGTGGTGATGGTGGTTTTGGTGGTGGGTGGTTGTGGTGGTGGTGGTGGTTGTGGTGGTGGTTGTGGTGGTGGTGGTTTGGTGGTGGTGTTGTGGTGGTTTTTCGTGGTGGTGGTGGGTTGTGGTGGTGGTGGTGGTGGTTTGGTGGTGGTATGGTGGTGGTTTGTTGTGCTGGTGGTGGGTTGTGGTGGTGGTAGTGGTTTGGTGGTGGTATGGTGGTGGTTTGTCGTGGTGGTGGTGGGTTGTGGTGGTGGCGGTGGTTTGTGGAGGAGGTGCTGGTGGTGGTGGTGGCGGTGGTGGTGGTGGTGGTGTGCTGGTTTGTGGTGGTGGTGGGTTGTGCTCCTAGTAGTGGGTGTGGTTGTGGCGGTGGTGGTGGTGGTGTGGTAGATTGTGATTGTGGTGGTGGTGGTAATGGTGGTGGGTTTTTGTGGTGGTGGTGGTGGTGATAGTGAGTTGTGGTGGTGGTGGTTGTGGATGTGGTTGTGGCTGTGGTGGTGGTAGTTGTGTGGTGGGTTGGTGGTGGTGGGTGTGGGTTGAAGCGGTGGTGGTGGTGGTAGTTGTGGTGGTGGTGGTAGTGGTGGTAATCGTCGCTGCGTTCCCGCCGTCGCCAGCGCCAGCGCCGGCGCTGCTGGCCGCCGCCAGCGCCGGCACCGGCGCGGGCGCCAAGGGGGGGGGGTACCCCGCCATCGACGGCGCCGAGTGTTGGGTGGGGCCCCCCCCCCCGGTTGGCAAGCGCCAGTGAAACGCGCTCTCTCGTAGGGGGACATGCCCGACCAAAAACAGCGCCAAAGATCCCAGAGGCCGCCGACGGGCGGCCGCCGAAGACCGCCCGAGGCAGATGGGCAACAAGGGATCCATGGTCGAACACCTACAGTGGAGACCCATGCCAAGAAACACCTTGCTTGCCTCCAGGGAGCCCTGGGTTTTTTGGGCTGCGATGGTGTTTGCTATGGATCCTTGGGCTATGGTGTTGCTTCGGTGGGTTTCTTGGGTTTCGTGGGATTCGATGCTTTCTTGGGCTTCGACTCAGTGAAAATGCTATAAACAGAAAGTGTTGGCGCTCCGCTCTGATTTCTTGGACCTGCGCTGGGCCCCCCTGGCGGCGCCTCCAGCGCGGCTTGGGTGGTTTTGCTATATGGAAAGCGTGGCGGTCCCACGCCAGATATCAATGGACGGCCCTGGGGTCTACAGGTTGGGTTTCTCGTGGAAGGTTTCTTGTGATCGAGCTCCTACTGTAACAATGGGGGTCCATGGTCGAACACTGCAAGTGTCTCCTTCTGCGTCGCATGCCATTCCGTCGCGCGGGCGCGTGTGGGCTTAGGTGACTGAGCGACGCCACGATAACGGGTTCGACGGCGCCGACACTCGTGCGTCAGAATCCCGCGTGCGATCGCGCGTGAGCGCCTTCTTCTCGAACGTATCGAGCAGTGCCAAGTGATCGTTCTTTTATTATTTTGTTTTGCTTTCGGCGGAACCCCCCGCCCCCCCCCCCCCCGTAGAGAAGTTATGGGCTGATTTTGGCACCTGCTTCAGTCGATCGGACGAACTACGGGGGCCGGCGCCCCCCCCCCCCCGTAGAAACTCGAATCGTTGATGTGTGCAATTGTGCGAACTTTTTCCTGCTATTCTTCTGGAACCATAACGAAAGGGCTCAGGGGCGCCGGACCCGATCGCCAAAAAGCATGCCTCCGGTTGGGCCCTCCCCTGTTATGCCACCGACGGCCTTGTGGAATCATGAATATGTGATTCATAGTAATTCTGGCACAGCCCCGCACAATCACGCATAGCCTTGGCGCAGCCCCGCGCAGCCTCTGCGCGATTCCCCCATGGGGGGTCCCCCATAGGATTCCCTCATCGGCATCTCCCACAGGATCCCCCCATAGGCTTCCCCCATGGGCTTCCCCCATCGGATTCCCTCATAGGTCTCCCCCTAATATTTGCGTTGTATTGTAATTGTTAGAATGAGTTTGTTTACCAGTTTCACGCCTCATGAGGCTCAAATGTTGAATTTTAAGCTATGTTGAAAATTTCAAGATGATTCAATCGGAGGTATTGACTACGGGACGAGAGCCGGACCCCCCCCCCTCCCCCCCTTGCGCCAAATGACGAAACCCAGAATACATAAACGCTCACCAAAGCGTCTGCCTGGGGCTGTCTTGTCTCAACACATCGCCTGCACGTCATGAGAGCAATGTTCGTTATTCGAACATACCTTAGGGCTCCAAGAACATTTGGCGGTATGCAGAAGTGCCGGGACGGTCGGTCCCTGCTCAAACGCAGCGTGCCCGCGTAAGTTGCAGCGGAAGGTCGCTCTGTCACCTCGCGTAAGAGCTCTTCCTTTTTCTTCGGTCATGTGGCGCTGGCCGGTCCAGGAGATAGCGAGATGGCGTCGCCGAGCACCTCCCGGGATCGGCCAGCAAGAAGGCTGGCGGTGTCCCTTAGGGCGTCGGAGACGGGGGCACAGCAGACGGGGGCACGGGGAGCACTCATTTCCACGTTGAGCCAATCCCCCGTTTGGGGGGCCCTGGGCGCCGTAGACGGGGGCATAGTAAACGGGGGCACGTGGCTTCGCGCCGCGAGACAAAGATGCATGGGACGCAGCGGCAGCCCGAGATGCAGAGCAGGCTGTGTGGAGGCTTGCCCCTCTCCCCTGTGTGTAGCTGTGCTCTCCGTTTGGCTACGCCCCCGTGTAGCCACGCTCCCGTCTGCGAAGCCCCGAGTCTCCTCGCGGCCCTGCACGGAGGAGGGCATGGGGGGAGGGGGAGGGGAAGGAGGAGACGCAGCAGGAGCAGGGAACAGGGGCAGGGGCAACGTCTTCTCGATGAGGGCGGGTCAGGTGGTGCTGTGGGGGAACTTCTGGCCAGCCGCATCCTGGAAAACGAATTGGTTCGGGCATGTAGAGCGCCCCTGACGCCCAGGCGGGAGGAGCGTGGCCCAGGGGCCTCCCCTGACTCGGTACCAGGGCTTCAAGTGGGTCCTGGCTCAGGTTCGGAGCTCGCCTCCGAAGGTCTGGGATCGTGAAGACTCCGGGGCCTGGGCAGTGCGACGTCCTCCAGGTCAGGTCGGCCCAGTGGCAGGCCCGGCAGGATTCCAGCAGGATCCCCGAGAATTGCCAGCGATAGTGACCCAGACCTGGCAGAGCATCTTGGCCCTTCGATCTTGAAGTACAGGGCCCTGGCATCTCTCAGCTCGGGACCTGTCATGCGCACGATCCCGGTGCCATAGTAATCCGCCGACTTTCAAATTCGTGAGGTGAGCCCTGTGATGTGGAAACCGACGTAAACCAAACAGGACGTCATCATGTTGGCCCTTGCGCGTGAATTAGATTCCAAACGCTGGAGCCGCTTCTTGAAGTTTATCTTTCGCTACTTGAGGGTCATGCGGGCGTTCTTCTTGGTGGGGACCCCCGCCGTGACATCGACTCCAAGGCTTGGTGCTGAAACCTGGTTCTCGCAAAGAGGACCTGAGGACTTCCCAAACGCCTTGGCGAGCTTCCTTTGCACTGCCACTCATGAACCGAGAACTGCAGCTTTGTGTAGTGTAACTGAACAGTCGAGGTCGTCGATCACATCTAGTATGCTGTCGGCACCCTCGGCCAGGTCGGAACGAAGGCGTTGCAGATTGGCGTTGCTGTTGGTCAGCATAAAGTCGTCAATGAACATGGAGGGCTCTATCCTGGGGTATTCTAGTAGACAGAGGTCAACTGGGGGCGCTGAGTACGTCTGGACGTTGAGCGTGCCGACAGAGCACCCCGCGGGGAAACCTTTGACAGCACAGCCTGCGTGAGTAGCCAACGTCCTAGTCGCAACGGCTCTGTGCCCACCGTACTGATTCATCAGGAGGTGTGCGAGGGTGTCTGAGAAACCACTGCTGAGGGCCCTCGTTTTCCACTTCTGCCTGTTCACGTTCTCGTAGTAGTCAGAAAAGGTCCCAAAGGAACAGCCCCGTTTGGAGTCTCAGGTGTCGAGATCGAGCGAGCTCGACCCCGAGGACCTGCGCATACACAGCTTCCAGAACCCCTCTCCCCGACTGGTGGGCCATGAACGTTCGCTGATCTTTTCCGTCCAGGACAAGATCAACAGTTACGATGAGCCCCCAGAATCCGAATAGAAACGCAAATCTTCCAGTTCTGAGGTTCGGCGCTCGGTGCCCCCGCTGCGCTCTTACAGGGCCGCGCCCCAGCGCGAACTGCAGCTTCCGTCGTCCGTCCGTCGTTATCCTTCCCCGATCCTGGCTTCTTCCTGTCGGATTTTGGACCAGACACGCCAAAGAGAGGGAAGCAAGCCAATTCCACGATAAGGTGGATCTTCCGATTGGTCGGCCTTGTGTTTCTCACTCAGCACCACGATGGTACTGCGAGTCGTGGTCGGGAACACTCCTACCTGCTCGATGGCTGCCATCAATCTCACAACCGATTCCAATTCGCGATAGGAACGCAGACACGTACCTCGTGTGAGATCTGTCCCAGTTCCGAGTCGTCGATGTTGGCCATCTCCTTGCGGCCGAACGAACCATTGCTGGTGTGCTGGGTCGGAGGGCCTGGCGCTCCTCCGACGCCGAGGTGAACTCCCGCGCTGTCGCGGTCGCTCCAGACATCCAGCAACTCCAATATTCTCGATGAATGGGCCCAAGAAGCTTAGACCGCTTCCCTATAGGGGCGATTTTTCGTCCTGAGTCGTTTTCTGACGGTCCCGAGGCCAGGCGAGGGCCCCCGGAGGCCGAAACTGAGGGAACAGAAAACGCTTGCTCCAGGAGCGTCCCAGATCGCCGAACTTATGGGCAAAATTTTCACCAATCATTCAAACCGTCGAACATGGCAAAAAACACCGCCAGCCGAATTTTTGTTGTGGAGCGTCGGATCTCTGGGGCGTGCCAGAGCCCTGACAGCGGAGCGGCCTCGGACCGAAGCCGCTCACAAAGGCCTACGGCAGGTTCGCGTCGTGTCGACCGGCGGCGACCCCTCCGACGGCGTTCAACGTTGATCAGTCGCGCGCATAAGGGGGTAGGGGGAGGGGGGAAGGCTTCTTAGAAGCAGCCTCCTTCTAAGAAGCCCTCCCCCCTCCCTCCACCCCCTTGTGCGCGCCGCCAAGTTGAACGCAGGCGGCCCACTATCGGTCGATGCTGAATGATCGGACGTTGCGGAAAAGGCTGATCGTTCAAGATTGAAGGATTCCCGCGGTGTCAGGAACCAACGCCTGGGTCGACACGGCACGAATTGGCCGTACCTGAAAATATCTGGAGCGGATGGGCTGCCAGGCGGCCAATTGGGAGGTCCAACGATGAGCCCAGGAGTTCCAGGATGGCGTTTCACTCTGGCAGTCCTTGGCCTCTTCTGATTGCAGGGCTCGATCTACTGATTCGTCGAGCTCTTCAGGCACGTGCAAACATAAGCTGCTTGTTCTGAACGTCAGGCCCGTGACCTTGTACCACGACTTCTAAGGCTGTCCTGACATGGACCAAGAGGCGAGCGAACTTCTCGGTCCCTTCCAGTCCGTGGGGCGGGTCTTGCAGGCTGCTCAACATCTCCACGGAACAGCACTCCTCGTCCTTCTATGCGGCCTTGACGACGTCCATTCTTTCATTTTCCAGCCACCGAATTGGGACCGACAATACGCACCTTGAGATCCTCTAGTTCAGCGATCTGGCCCTTGAGCGTGTCTATCTATGGCGACTGGGGAGGCGAGGATTATTGAACTGAAGAAGATCGGTGTCCTGGCATACCGGAATCCACCAGTTCAGTAATCCTCGCCTCCCCAGTCGCCATGGTGACGCTCAGGGGCCAGATCGTTGAGCTGAAGAATCTCGGGGTGCGTAGACAACCGTTGCCAACTCGCCCCGATTCCTACATCCCGAGCAGCGGTCCACACCCACATGATCTCGGGCACGGCCTCTCGGTGTGGTCGGCGCCTGGATCGGCGTGTCCGTCCTGAGGCTCGTGGAGCGCGCCAGGTCGCTCGCGAAGCAAAGTTGGACCGAAGTATAAGATCGAGGTCGGTTCGGGGGGGGCACCCTAGTGTTCTTCGTGTTTGTTGGATGTTCTTGTGCATCCTGGGGACGGTACCCTGGGATGTTCTGTGTGTTTGGGCTGGCGGAGGGTCTCATGTTCTTGAAGGATGTGATTCTGGTCTAGGTCCGACCGTATCCGTCCTGATACTGGTGGAGCGCGCCGTGTCGCTCGCGGAATACGGACACGTGCTGTCCAGTAATGCCAACCCAGCTTCAGCTTCAGACTCTCTCTCCTTGACGGCCTCCAGGAACTCCAGGGCGGCTTTGGTCTTGGCCCGAGACGGCGCGTAGTTTGTGGGCCCCACAGGCCTCGAGGTACCAAGAGGCTGGCGATTCTCCAGGATGGGCACTCAGAAAAGGCTTATACCACTTGAGTTTGGCCAACGCGGGCCTATGGGAGCTCAGCGAGTAGTGGTGCAGAATTTGGGCTTCATAGAGGTTCTGATCGAAGCACGATGAGGCGACGAGGTAGTCGATTGTGGTCAACGACTGCTTCATCTTGCACGTAGGGTAAGTAGCTGCAATGACATTGAAACCAGCTCTTAGCGCACAGTTAGACTGTGAGACGCTCGGGCGGTACATTGAAGCCCCCCCGTAATGATTATAGGCTGCTTGACGGAGTCCTGGATCATTGCTACCCCAGCTGAGAGCTCTGAGTCAAACTTGTTGTGGCCGACCCCATCGGCCAGGTATAATGAAGGTAGTACCAGGGGAGTATGGCCTGGTAGTTCAAGGGATACGGCGGTGCACCTGGACTCATCAACCCCTGCAGGCGTCAGTACACGTGATATTCCAATGTCATGCCCTTCCCGAATCAAAATCATTGTTCATTGTGAAGGGTACCCCTTGTTCCTGAGCATGTCTGAGAGGAGGCGGAAGAGGAGGAGTTGGAGGAGGAGGCGGAGGAGCAGGAGGAGCACGAGGGGCAATTTCAGGAGGCAACCTCACACATTGAGGAGGGGGTGGGTGTCAGGAGCAGGGGTAGCAGGCCGTGTGCTGGACACATACGGGGGGGGCAATTGTTTAGTCGTGGGACCTTCGAGGTTTGCCGGAATCCAGCAGAGAAGGATCAGTATGCAGTGCAGCGGCAGAGGGATGCAGTGGGACGGGAAAAATTCAGATTCGCGTTGGTCACTGGTGAACGATGTTGTTGCCTTAGGGAAGGGCTGCCCCTGGGCAAGTGCGGAGATGTGGGCGTTGTCCGCAGGTAGAGATGGCACACATGTGCGCACCCTGGTTCAAACTTGCTTAGAAATACTGCGTGGAAGCAGTAGCAGTAGCAGTAGCAGCACCAGTGGTAGTAGTAATAGTACTACTGATGCTAGGAGTGGTCGTTGTAGTAGAAGTATTATTATTATTATTAGTAGTAGTAG